TCCCAACAACATTACTTCAAATTTGTCAAAAATTATGTTAAAAATTTCTCAGAATATGAGGCTAGGTAAAGCAATCTAAGGGAAGTAATCCAGTGTTTATAAATGAAAATACTTATTTTTTTAATACCATGTCCCTTTAGGTGATTATAGCACTCTACAACTACTTTTTTTTTAAAAATTTGTGTGGACTGCAATGGTTGACTCAGAAATATAGTGATCTGGTTTTCCATTATATTCCGATTCGTTTTTCACTTAGGCTACCTGCCAATCAAAGCTCGAAAGCCTTTATCTACCCTGCAGTTAGAGGAAGAAGAGTTTGATCCATTTGTATAAAATGGAACGGACCTTAGATATCTCAACAATTTTTAGCAAGGTGTGTCATAGAGGGTTGCTGTACAAACTTCCCAGCTATTGTATCTCTGAAAGTTTATGCAATCAAATCGTTTTTCTCAGGTACATTCATAAAGTTTTCATAAGTTCATGAAAAAAATGCAGGTGTTCTTTCCTCCGTTCTGCCTTTTATTAACCAATGAATATTCTCAGATTATTAGGGAATTGTTCTGTTCATTGAAGCGCTTCCAAAAACCAAGATGACCGGAGCTTTGCAGCAGCTCATTCTTTTGATTTAAGTTCTGACATGGGTGATGGTTCTCGTTTATTACTTTAATACCTAAAACAAGCGAGTATCTTTCCATTAACATTGAGCAGACCTTAGGTTTTCTCCAGTCACGATGAAAGGTTGCACTCTCAACATCTGTTAGGTTTCATGCTTATGTCATTCCTCGGATCCATCGCTAAAAGATGCTGGCAAAATGGTTGGCTCCTTACACAGCCCCAGAAAATACCTGACTCTTTACGAGAGTTAGATCAGACCAAAGATCTGTCTATATTTTTGAGATGAGGTATTGTAACTACTAACATTGTTCAGACTGCTATCCTCATCTTTACTGGCATATTCACGACGTTTCGGCCATTGTATGTCCCGGCCTTCTTCAGGTTATATACGTTGGAATTTCGGACCGAGCCCTTTATTTAATCCACTGGGTTAGATTGTTCTAGTTCCATGTGCCATGGTGTCTCAATTATTTCTCTTTAGTAACTCAACTCTCCAATTTTTTTAGCTGTGGCCAGATATTGAACTCACAACTCAAGTCGGGTCAAGATTACTTCAACTAACGCTTTTATCCGCTGGGCCATGTGTTCTTGGAGACAATCAGGGAATTAATTTTTGAGACTTACTTGGAGCTGAAATGTCGTTAATATGACAATAAAGATTAAGACTACAGTCCGAAGAATCTATAGTGTAAATGGACCATTGTTGCCATATGTGGGCATATCTTAATTTTCCAGCATTGATAGCATTCAAAATTCTTTACGCCGTCTTATGGGGGGACGACTTATTTTTTCAACTCTTCAATTTTTTTTCCCCACAGACTCGGCATTGCAAATTTGTCACTATTTTATCACTTTTTTTTCATGGGAAATATTCAAATGGGTTTTATTCTCTATTTTGCCTATTCATACCTTTAAACCTAGGGCAGGGGTCGGCCATCTTTTGCTAACTATGTGCCGACTTAGGATTTTAAAATCATTCAGTGCGCCAACAGCATACGTATTTTTATACAAGTCAAGGTCAATATACCTGTTCTACAATATATTTTATTTAGTACTTTAATATATATTAAAATTGAAACAGCTAAATATCTTCTTTGCGCTGTAGTAATTATTGGTTCGGACTTCGTTATGTCATTTGCGACTGCGTGCCTTTTGAAATTGCTTCGCGTGCCATATATGGCACGCGTGCCGTAAATAGCCGACTCCTGCGCTAAGGCACGTCATGTTACGTCCGCGGAACCAGATCAGCCTTATTTCCGCCAAGTTCCACTTAGACAAGACTTTCCCAAGAACTGCCTACTTAGTGAAACAGACTCCCACGTGGGTACTTACCTGAACATCATACTCTTAACCTCTTCAAATGAAGCGTCAATAGTTATCTACATTCTTTATCCTTATAATGTTTACTTCCTACTAAGTCATCTTAGAGCAGATCACATTGTTAAAGAATTGTAGACTAATCGAATAGATTTACCTTAATTTCTCGAAAATAATACGCATTTTTATTGTAAATTGCAGATGATAGTAGGGGTGCGTATTATAAATAGGTTTAAACAAAAATACTTTTCGTTATTGATTTATAATAAAGACGTGCTTGATCTTCTGAAATAAGAATCATGTTCTAATTTTCATTTTAAATCCAACAATAAAAATTGTAACATTTTTATGTCAATAAATGTATGTTTATCAGTAACCGCATTTTTTATTTGGCGCAAAAATTTAAAAAAAAAATCTATAAAAAGGCCAATTTCGAAGAAAAGAGGAAATCAAGTTAACAATTTATTTCATCATCATCATCATCATCATCATCATCACCACCACTTTCTGTTATAGAATCAATATCTAAATTGTCATTAAACAAATTATCATTCACGCGCACGTTTTGACGACATTTTGACAGTAAAATAAAATGCTATATTAATCGGGAAAACCGCATGGTAATTTTCAGTATTTATTTAAACTATTTATTGAAATTTTAATTTTCATCATCATCTTCATTAAATATGTTTCCTGGATACATTGTATTTATAAGTTCTTTAAGTTAAGTACATACGTAACATCCACTTGATTGTCTTTCTTTCACAAATTTTAGCCTCATTCAACTCATATTCTCTAGCTGTAGCTGTTTCCTATTCTTTGTGCTAATTTTATTGCTTTTTGTTTAAAATTTGAACTATAACTCACACGTTTTGACGACATTTTGACGGTAAAATAAAATATTATATTAATCGGGAAAACCGCTGGTAATTTTCAACATTATTTTAGCCGCTTAGTTTCGATTTTATTCTTAATGTCAAAGTCGACAAAATGTCTTTGTAATTACTTTTTGTTTTTTTGACAAAATTTATAGATGCGTATTATACATAGGATAGATATATTTTTAATTTTTGGATCATTTGTTGGGTGCGTATTATTTATTGGGTGCGTAGTATTTTCGAGAAATTACGGTAACTATTGTCATTGGAAAGTCATTTTTTTGTACAAACCACATCACACAGGAGTCGGCTCATTTTTTTATGCCTTTTCTAGTCTCCGATTTCAATTTCTATATTCGTTTTTATTAACCAATCAGCGACGTTATCACAAACGCGGCCAATTGAATTTTCAGACAGTTACTATTTGTTGTCTTCTACAAAATTTTGATGGTTCACTCCAGAAAATGATCAACGATATTTCCCTCCTTAAAATGGATATTTAAAAATTGGGAAAATATTTATTAATCAATAAACTTATGAGTTTAATAAAATCTAAATTTTAGTTTTACTAAAGCCGATGTTTCTGTTATATAAACGATCATATTAGTTCGCAGAGTTTTTCAGTTAAACTTTGACGAAGGTCGTTTGTTTGTTATACAAGCTAAAATTCTCAAACCTTATTTGTTTTTCGCATATTTATTCGAGAATACTATTACATAAAAGGCTTAGCGATGTTGAGTTAAGAAACACAAAAAACAAACGTAATCAATACTATTAAGACAGCTTCCTTCTAGCTGCTACGAGGAAATTACACGCATAGATAAAACTGGACAAATACGGCACACGGTCATTCCCATATGTAAAAACATTCTAACGCAATTGAAAAGAAAGTAAAAAAAATATTTTTGTGTGAAACTGTTTCGCTCTGAATCATTGTAATTCATTTTTTTTCAATTTGAAAGAAAATTAATAGTCAGTAATTAAAATTTAATTAAATTTGTAGAGCTGTGTTGAAGGTTGTTTTTTCTTTATTTTATTCACACATATTCCTCTAAAACACATTGCATTCATCAAAAACATAAGCCCTACATTGAGCGAAAATTATTAAAAAATAATGGCAAGAACAAAACTCGTCCTGACTCGACGATTGTACTTTCTGCGCCGTAACCCTAACCCTAAACCTAACTTGCATATTTCATCAGTGGAGAAATGTAAAAAAGTGTCACCAATTTGTAGAGGCGGTTAAAAGGTAAAGTACTTGTGCCACGAGGTGGGAATTTGAATTCGGCTCACCGATTCCATCTTTCGTGATAACACCGTTTCAAAATATATAGTTGTTAGTGAATGTCTTTACCATAGAGGTTTCCCAAGAACGATGTTGATAGGATCAATTCTCTTTTGTTCGTTAAGACGCTGGTTTGGTGGAGGTTTGAAACTACAGCGTCGGATTTCATTCGTCTTATCGTCTTTATAACGCAGTTTTTGCAGCTTCAAACTTGATGAAAAAGAAAAAAAAAAAAACTTGCTAAGCGAAATCACTGTTTCTTTTATTGCATCAGTTTGTGTCTATTTACAAATGACACTTTGAAAAAGTTTCGCCAATAAACCGCTAAGAAGAATACAATTTATTTCTTTATACATTCCTTGAATTTTCCTAAGATAGATATTTTAATTTTGAAAAAATAGAACACAAAAAAAAAAATGAATAAAAACAAACATTTGATTTTTTTTTTCGAAATCTTATAATTAAATGAAGAAGGATAGAAAACGTTTTTTTGAAATGAAAGGAAGGAAAGAAGAAAATTAGCAATTTTGGGTTGCAGCTGAACTGTTTAAAACGCTAGCATTTTTTTTTTTTTTGGCATTTTTAACTTGTTTTTTTTTCACTTCATCGTCTTTTTTATTAATACTTTTTATTTTTTTAAATTTAGTAAGTCACATAATACAGTCATTTTTTCTTTATTTTTTTTTTATACATTTAAAATTACTAAAAGCTATACATATCCATATAAAATATTAGCTCGTTTGATATCTGATAAAAAAAAAGTTTGCAAAAGATTGCCTTCGTTTAAAAAATATGTGTAATGAAAACCAGAACAAAATATTGAAACGAGCCGATGTAACTCAAACAAAATCATTAATGAAAAGGCATAAAGGTGATTTATAACAATGCATTAAACTGTGAACAGTTTAATGCTTTTTCGATCCGAATAGTAATTTAGAAATAAGTTTTTCATCCATATGTCTACGGGCTCGTCTGTTCGCGTGATATCTCCTTGGAAGTCGTGGCCAGGCGCTAATGACGAAGGACTCGATACCACATTCGTCTTCTCCCCTCAGGATACGGAAGTAACCGTTCTCACCCCAGTGAGTACCCCAAGAGTTAGCGCAAAGCTGAAAACAATATAAATTGAAAAGTTCATAATAGGGCTCAATACAAAAATAGGGCTCAATACAGAAATAGGACTTAATACAATTTAATAGTAGAGCAACATTCTTTATTATAGAATATTACATTCAAACATGTATAAACCGCTACATGTATAAACTGCATTCATATAGCGGTTTATACATGTTTGAATGTAATATCCTATAATAAAGAATTTTGCTCTACTATTATTAAACGAAGCAGTCTGTCTGTGGATGACAATATATATATAATATATGGGTGTGTGTGTGTGTTTTTTTGTGTGTGTATGTGTGTGTGATTCAACAGTACATGGTAACTTTTACATTATTTATATTATTCGGACTATTGTCCTCATCTTTGCCGCCATATTTATTACAACGTTTCGGCCGTTGTACGCTCCGGCCTTCTTCAGGTGGTTAGAATGTTAGAATGGTTTATTTCGCTCACTGGGGTAGACTGTTCTAGTTCTACGTGCCATGTTTTAATGGATGTCAGTTATCAGTTATCTCCAGTTAATTCCCCTCTGAAAGTTCTCCACTGCCTTAGCCAGGTATTGAACTCACACTATTTGGGTCCTGTCACTGGATTTAACTAACGCCTTTATCCACTGTGCCATGTGTCCTTGAGCAGTGGAGAACTTTCAGAGGAAAATTAACAGGAGATAACTGATAATTGACATCCATTAAAACCGAAACGTTGTGATAAATATGGCGACAAAGATGAGGGCAATAGTACGAATAATGTAAATAATGTACATAATACCTCATCTCAGAAATATAAACAGATATGGTAACTGTTAGTTTCCCGCCTCACCGTAATCTTAAGAACTGGTCTGAAGACTGCGGCGAAGCATGAGTTTCTACATTTACTATTGTTTATATTAACTGTTTTATAATGACTCGAGACTTCAGTATCTTACAAGAAATAATTCAACTTTATGAAGTACAAATGAATTAATGTACATAGCCAATATAAATTTGATTAGCGTAGATAAGTTTGAGTTAAATATTAACAAGAGTTTATTGAATTTACGACTTGGTGGACAAACTAAGCTCTTCACTAATAAAAAGCATCAATATTCCAACTTACCCAGTATTTAGTTCTTGCACCATTGGGCTGAATATCAACGCCCCATCTACAAAAACAAATAAAGAAAATAAAGAATTGTTTTTGCGTTGGTTATTTTTTTCTTATTGCGGAATATTTAGTTAAAAGTTTATAAATTACTCGCAGTAGAGCCCGGCGTTGCCCGGGGATATAACAGTAAGAGATAGATCAAGTATCCACCATCATAAAGACTGAAAAATAAAATTGACAAAGATTATTGTTTAAGGTTGACGGACACGCATGTCTTAATTAGTTTTTTTTTTTTTTTTTTTTTTTACGAATTGGTCAAACCTAAACTCAAACAAAAACATTGTTTTCAATTGTTATGAGTCTCCCAATTGAATAGAATTTTATTATAAACAATTGTCTTGTAAATGGAATTTTTAAAGCATTCTGAATGTTAAAAAATAAAGAAAAAGTGTGCAAGAGAATAAGAAACACTACCTGCCAAAAAAAAAAAAAGTGAAGTTTTGTTTTATCGACTGAAAAATATAGGAAATCCGCTCCCATATTTAAAGGAACCCACATACACACACAACCCGATGTGAGTTGTCCCCCTTCCATTTTCACGATGTCTCTTAATCGTGTTTTCAAATTGATTTTGTGCAAAAACAATTATATTTTCCCCATTTTTGGCGCTGTTAGAACCACCACAAGGTAATTTTATGTAGTCCTGTGAAGTTTTGTTGAAATCGGTTGAAAAATGTAGGAAATCCGATCCAATATATAAACATTACACACACACACACACACACACACACACACACACACAATCTGCGTTTTATAATAAGTAAGATGATCGAGATTTTGGACGCAGAAGCGCGAACGTGTACACACAGAAACGCACAAAAGTAGAGACTAAATTTTTAAGGTGTGAACATGTCTTGTAGCCGCTATCCATTACTCCACCGTGCCTCTTCCATGTAATGGATAGCGGCTCGGAGTGAGGAATCGGAGAGCCGAGTTCGAATTCCACTCGAATCCATTACATTCATTTACGTGCTAATACCCTTGGGAAATGTATGAATCCTTTCCTTCTCTACCAGTTATGGATAAATAGCAGGACAGTCCGGATTTTATAGCCTTGGATGGCAAGTGGTCTACCGCAGAAAGAAATGGCAACCTACCGCGGGAAAAAATCTGCCTCGTCAGTCATGTATCGAAAGATACACAATCGCCTAAGTGTGTATCACGCATGGTACATAACTGACTTTCCAGTCCAATGCATTACATTCACTTACGTGCTAATACACTTGGGAAAGGTATGAATCCTCTTCATCTCTCCAACAGCTATGGGTAAATAGCAGGATGGACCAGGTTCTATAGCCTTGGATGGCAACTGGTCTACCGCAGAAAGAAATGGCAACCTACTGCAGGAAAAAATCTGCCTCGTCAGTGATATATCGAAAGATACATGATCACCTAAGTGTATATCACGCATGGCACAAAACTGACTGACATGTCTTGTTAATATGGTAGTATATGACCAACCTGAATAATTCTAGTCTTGTAGCGTTACAAAATTTGGTTGTCTGCCCTTGACACAGCTATAATTTATGCATACATCAAAGGGTAAGAAATGTGTTATGTGACAGTCTGGCTAGAGGCGAGAAAATTAAGTCGCCTGTTCATTTGGAACATATTAGGCAGACGCTATATCTATTGTAGATATCTGTGTTCCTTCTATACCCAAGCTAAACCATTGACGCAATGTTAACTTACCAAAAAAAAAAAAAAAAAAAAAAGAAAAAAAGAAAGAAAACTTAATTAATTTCTCTGTTCTTTGTTAACGTGTGCATATTTTGTTGCCAAACAATTATCGTATCCATGTTCTATAAATGTTTCTTTTTCTCTTTTTAATCAGTATCACCCCAAGCAAGGCAGTACAGCAACTAACACACAAGTGGTTACAGGGTGTGGAGAAATTAGGAAGCGAAGCATTAGTAAAGAGTAGAAAGAGAAAAGTGTATTCAGGAGGACAGTAGATAGCGATTGGCATTGAATTTAAATTCTTTCAGATTAAAGTTGGTTGAAAAGTGTTGAGCAGGAAGTGAGTCCCACAATCGACAGGAGCGAGTAAACTAACTGTTAGCATATAAGCAACGGCTACATCTAGCTAGCTCAACTGTCAATTGATAAGATCACGCCGCCAGTCTGTTATTGCGCTTAAATTCATACAGTCTAGGTTTCATAGCAAAGAGCTCATCCGAACAACTATTGCGGAAGTATTTATAAAAAAAAAAAAAAAGCTCAGAGAGGCAACCTTACGGTGGTGGGGAAGTAACTGAGTTTCAGCCACCAAATCAGGACCAATAATATAGCAGATTCTTCAGAACAACTTTCATTTCACGATTTAGTAACGACTGGATCAGCTCAAAAATGTGCCCGGAGATACCGTAAATTTTAAGCTTGTGGAGAAGAACCGAATGCCAGACCCTGTCAAAGGCTTTCGAGATGTCCTAAGCTGCAGCACGGGCTTCACTGTTTTTATTTAGAGTGCAATAGACTCTTTCCACAATTATCGTAATTACATCAGCAGTTGACCTGGAGAAACGAAAACCCTATTGCTAGTCTGAGAAAAGGCTCTCCGATGAGAGATGATGAACTAATTCAGCATTGATTTGCGCCTCTAGGAGTTTCCCAAAAAGAGGTAGAATTCTAATAGGCTGATTGTTGGGTGTGTTGGACGGTTCTCACAAGAATTCTTAAAAAAACTCGAGCAACAGACGATGACATCCAGCAGGCAGGAAAGCAGAAGGCAGTTAAGCATTTATTATACAGTTTAGAGAGAACAGGAGCCAGTTCAGGAGCATACATCTTAATGAATATTACAGGCATACCATCGGGTCCATATGTTTTGTGGGAATCAACGTTAGAGATGATACTATGGAAGAGGTTATATACATATCACTCAGCAGAGAATCAGTTCTAAGTGGGAAGTTAGGCAGGAATACTCCAGATGATTTAAGAGTAGAGTTTGAGGAGAATTTTACGGGCAAAGCATTCAGATTTATCAGCAGAGATTATTGATTGAATAGGGGGTGAATAGAGACCTTGCACTAATTTAGTACCCTATTATAGAGACGCCAGTAATCACAAGAGCCAAAGCTTTTAGAGGATATGCGTTGCTTCATTCTCTCAGTAAACAGGGAGTTAGCTCCCTCGGGGACTCTCTTACATTTGTTACGAGCCGTAACAAATAGAAACCTGTTATGACGAGGGCTGCCACGCTGGTATAGCCGGAAATAGTGTTTCCTGTGTACTATGTCGGCCGATCAAACTGGTGTGAACCATGGAGAAGATTGAGGTTTCATCTGGTATTTCCGACAGGGAATGAAAGCGTCCATGCCCGGGAAGAAACCTCACTGGCGCATGTCGATAAAGATTTTTTATTTATTATACATATGCCCTTATGGAAGAAATATGATATAAAACTCTACATATCAGAATAATGATGGATAATTAAGTGAGCATGTAGGAAAATATATTCTTATTGATGGAATTATATATATATATATATATATATATATATATATATAGCGAGACTCTTCGCTAATGCGAATTGAGTCACTCCCGGTCACTGGGCGTGTTTATAAAGATAAACACGCTAAAAATCCACTTTCCTCCCTACCGTGCGCCGATGGCTTAATGGTTAGAATCTCTGACTGACGGATGTCTAGCCACACTGATGAACTGTGAAACAGCGAACAGTCTGTCTGTGGATGACGGTATATATATATATATATATATATATATATATATATATATATATATACTATTAGTAGTTATATATCTTAAATATACATACACATATATATATATATATATATATATATATATATATATATATATATATATATAATTTCAAAGAGGATAGAATCCAGGTAGAACTCAATGTCCCGAACGGAGTAAGGATATAATAAAAAGACTTAAACACTAATATTCCATGGTCATGATTTATTACATTGGAATCGTAATCTGCATCTCACTCATGTAATCTGTCATTTAGCTTTTCTATTTAAAGCTTCTGTCTGTTAAATTTTAACCCCCACCTTCACTTTTAGGCCTTCCTGTTCTTCTTTCGTCTGTTACCCCTCAGTAGAACTTTCATTTACATTTACCTCTCACTTTCGTCCCCCACTCTCATACATACACTCTCACTAAATTTTTGTTTTCATTCCCGGAGTTGTTTTTTCTGTTTTCTTTTTGAATTTGTAGGTCTGATGAATTGGATCGTAATTACGTTCCAATGTAATAAATTATAATCATGGAATATTAGTGTTTAAGTCTTTTTTTATTATATATATATATATATATATATATATATATATATATATATATATATATATATACAAAACATTAGTTCTAATTATACAAATTATACATCGAGAGGAATGCGAGAAAAATTTAAAAAAAAGAGTTGGGAAGTTGAAGGAAAGTTGTTAATCGCAAAATGGTGTTTAACATTACAGGAGTTACTGGTAGACTTTTTACATATACGTGAAACTGTGCACGTATGTAATTATCAACGATAGAATTATTGTCGCATTCAAGTTTTGTTAATATGTATATAAAGTGTTTCCTCTTAGATATATGCAATTGTAGGTACCACCACTGATTCGCTAAAAAAGGAGCAAACCATGATGAAAAAATGTCCCAAACTTAATAAAAACAAAGTTTTATTGTCAAAATCTTTATGAGGAAAAACAAAAGGATTTTTTGATTATTAAATTATATTTGTTGATCTTTTTTAGAACGTTCTAATTTTTTTTTTCGTCAGGGGAGTTAATTCGTATAAGAACTTTTAGCGTGTTTTTGCGGTGATAAAAACATAGATTTGGAAATTTTTGCGAAAATCATATAATTGTCGGATTTTAATGAAACTTTCAGGATTTATTCACAAATGAATGAAATTATTTTAGAAATTTTTTTTCTTAGAAAATCTTGGTAAAAAATTTTTTTTGCATCAGTTTCCCTCACTTATTTAATTTTAAGGAATTTCGAGAAATTAATTTTTGTGTCACTAAATTTTTTAATATTAGTTAAAAGCAGAACTCCCTTGAAAAGTTAAATAATCAAATTTTTTTTGCCAAAGAGGACCCCCATTTACTGAAAATCTGCTCTGAATTATAAAATTAAAATGCAATAAAAGTAAGATATTATGTTATATAGGAATGAAGTGTCGCTGCCGACACTTGAGTTTGAACATAGATCGCCAGTGAGCAAACACAGGCGATCCCATTATTGACTTAAGTAGACCAAGTGACCATAGAGGAAACGCATATATGGAAGGTAGCGTGTGTCTAATTGATTGTATTTCTAGTCTATCCTCTATTACTATTCAGACCGCTATTCTCTACTCTGTTCCCTATACTATTCCTCTATTCGGATCACTATACGAACGAGTATTATCGAGCAAGTACTATTAGTGCGAGTGATATTCGAAGGCGTCTGACACTAATATTGTTCAACGGTGTTACTGTAGTTGTATCTGCGATTCCAAAGTCTATACTACAACGAGCATTACGAAAGTGATAACCAGTATTCGTTGACATCACAAAACATTATTTAATTAGAAAAGTCTTTAATCGCTTTTATGTATAAAATATATTATGAATACTATTGTCTTAAATCGATGAATAATGAATTTTGACAAGAATTGTTTTAATTTAAAAAAAAAAATTAATTAGAATAATTTATAAAGTTTTAAATGTTTTAAATTTCTGTATTCCTTTGTTTCTTTTAGGTGATATTCCTATTAAGTAAAAACTATATTTACTAATTATAAATGGAAAAGATTCGTACAATTCATCGAACACCAATATTTTAAAAGAATTTTGAATTATTTTCCGATTATTGTAGATACGGTTGTCCAGACACGTTATTATCAGAAAACAAGTGCAATAAATATAGTAAACTTAAGCCAAAGTATCTAAAATTCAATAAAAAAATTAGATTACGGAGAATATTTTCCTAAATTTTTAAAATGACTGAGTATTCAAAGATTATATAAAGAAAGGCGTTCACGTTATATTCCTCAGTTATCTTTTACAGATATATACACCAGTAGAAAACATTATATAACCTTGTATCTGTCATTCAAGGTGTCACCATGTCAACACCTTAAATAAACAGCTACCACTGTGTTAAAAATGCATCTCTACGATATTTTAATCTTAAAGTAATATTTGTTTAAAATCAGATTAATTAAACCTTAAATCAGCTAATATTCTTAAAATAAAGATTCAGAAAAGTATATTTTATTTTTAAAGTATTTCTTTTTAATAATGAGAATTACATTGCAATGGCAGATTTCTAAAAATGGTGCATATATCATTTTTTTTAACCATCTGTCAGCAATTTTAGTAATTTTAAAACAAAAATCCTTCTAGTCAATTTAAATTAGTTTTGAAATACAGCAAAGTATTTTACTTATTTGAAATTTAATCGATTAGTTTGAAATTAAGAATAAAATAAAAGCTTCAAGAAAGATTTTTCATTTAAAAAAATTAATTTTAAAACTAAGGTATCGCGAATATGTGGTGGTACCTATAATGGTAGTGTGCTTATCTGAGGTTTCATCAAAAAGTATCGAGACTGTTGCTAAAGTACGTAGAGTGAAGCCGCTTGGTACAGACTGAACAAGAGGGTTTAAGATTTCTGTCTGGTGATACTGACTTTCTTTCAAGCTGTCCTGTCATCACTGTCTATTTATTTTACTTATTTTATTTAGGGTTACATTACAATGCGTTCGGCATTTTTATTTATTTTTTATTTATTCTCTTCTTTTCTAAAATCACATCGATATTTTCTTAAAGGGTTTTCAAATATGCATATATATATATATATATATATATATATATATATATATATATATACATATGTTTCAGATAACGATATATATTTTCATATATCAGGAACAATATTGCGGAAAATTTATGACAAAGTGGAAAATGTTTTCATGAGACACGTTTCGTCTTTTCACGACTTCATCGGACTAAATTTGTTATGTTGGTGTGACGATATCCGCATGAATGAGGGATGCTGGGAATTTTAAATAAATGATTATTTTTTATCTAGCCGATTTCAGTTAAATTCGTTTTCTTATTTCTTTCCACCACTTTTGTTATTAGATATCCCACACTATGGTAATAGAACTTCTGCCAGGAATGGTGAAATGTTGTAAAAACCAAGGTCCTAATTTACTGTCGAAGACATTTTCGTCCTACTGAACTGTTTCTCCTTTGAACAGAGTAGCATTTTTTTTTTTTATATCAAAATTGAGGTAAGTCTCGTTACGGTGGACAACCAGCGTATTCGATGCATTGTTTTGTAAAATGTCTCTTTTGTCCAACAACATAAATCTATTTTGTCTCACCCACATAACAAATTTAGACCAATGAATTCTTAAAGGAAGAAACGCGTCACATGAAAACTTTCTACAATTTGTCATACATTTTCCAATATTGCTCCTGATACATAATATATATATATATATATATATATATATATATATATATATATATATATATATATATACACACACACACACACACACACACACACACACACATATATATATATTTTAAAACAGTAAATAATTTAGACATACTCTGTCTATTTATTTTTGTTTTAATCCTTTCGGGTCCACAATTTAATTTCTTAGAAGCCTTAGAAAATTTTCTTTCAAATAATTTTTATTTTCCCAATTACTTTCAATTTCATCTGAGGCCATCGGCAGAGGGGTTATGTGTATGTGGATACGTATTTCTGTAAATTCAAAACATTTTTACTGTTCGTTTTACCGCGTTTTTTATCGTTCTATATCAGTTTCAAATTCACGTGGATTTTTTACATGCAAGGGAGGAAACTTTTGTATTTCTTAATTTTAATTATCTTTATTTTTATATATATATATATATATATATATATATATATATATATAACTTTTGCTACAAATATTTAAGACCTTTTTTTACTATGCTCTTAGTTGACTATTTATTTTTGGCTTTAATTCATGTACATGGAAACATATATATATATATATATATATATATATATATATATATATATATATATATATATCAATATCATCTCACAATCCTCACACTTGCTCCATATGTGGCCTTCTTTGTAAATCACAAGCGGGTCTTAAATGCCACTTAAGATTATCGCACAAACTTTTATAACTGAATCAATAAGCTGTCAGATCCTCATACGTCATACATTATATATATATATATATATATATATACAGGTGTGCACTTTAAAAAATTTATAACTTTATTTGTATTTGCGATAAAAATAATTTTTAAAAAGGATTAGAAAGAAGTAAATCTATATTTTTTAAAGTTTTATTGAAATTTTATTTAAGTTTCCACATGTCCTCCATCATTAGCAATACAAAGGGTAATACGATTTTGCAGTTCACGGAAAATATTTGCCAATATTAGTTATTTTAGCTATACTTAAAACTAGGTACAGTAAACTTTATAACATTTTTTACAGATTATTTCTATCGCAAATACAAATAAAGTTTATGAAAAGTATATTGGCATTTAAAATTTCGAAATACATACTTTAGAAAATGAAACGGTATTTACTTGACACCCCCCGCCCCACGAGGTTAGATTGTGACACAAGGTCGGTTTAATGTGGGGAGCCCGAGCGCGTACACCCGGGCAAGGAACAAAAATTCCCCGAGGCCCCGCAACCGTCGGTTGCGCTGGACTCGGTGCGTGCACCGATCCTTCTCTCTAGTGCAATGAGAAGGCGCGGCCTCGGGCAGCTGTCCCCCAGGGCCAGGCACCTGTCAGTATAATTTTCCTCAGTTGCGACTCTGTCCCTTGACGGAGTCACCCCTGAGCGCACTCTGTCCTAAGACAGAGACGCAACTGAGAGATGATAAATAAAGGGTATAAATTACTTAGAGTAATTTACACGCTAACTATAGAAAATGACACTGAAAACTTCTCGGTATTAAAGTGAGTCTTGTTAAATTTTTTGTTTTAAATGAAGAGAATCTATACACAGTTTACATAATGGTTTATTGCGTTCAGGTTCAGTGATATTTATTCCGGTAAATATGAACGGTTAAAAATGTGTTTTTTTACTTACCCAATGATCCTGACAGAGTGATAGCCTGTTTGTTGATAAATATGAGGCAAACTTTGACTTGCACCGGTGTGTCGATAGATTCCCGACTTGTAGGCATAGAAATCCTCTTTTACAGTGAAGATAGCTGGAAAAAAAAACACAGGGAAAAAATAAATGAAAGATAAACATACCAAAATAGCATAAACTAACATAAAGCTAACAGAACTTAACAAAACCTAACATAAACCTAACAAAAAAAAAACAAAAAAAAAAAAAATGAAGACACATTCACACGTGAAATTTTCATATCATCTGTAATTGATCTTTTCATTTAGAAATTCAATATTGAACATGCGGATTTTTGTTTATTGGTAATATTTCATATTTCAATGATTTATAGATAATAATACAGATACTAAAAGAATTTTAAATCTTAAAATACAATTAATCTTTCTGCATTCATTGCAGGTGTTCACAGTTATTTTCGTATTTCTCAGTTAAAACTTACGTGATCAATTAGGCTGATTATGTACATTAACAGATGAGACGACATATATATATATATATATATATATATATATATATATATATATATATATATATATATATATATACAAATTAGAGAAAGAACAGATGGAGTAAAATTCTATTGTTCGTAACATTTACTTTAAAAAAATGCTTAATACAAAGTAGAACAATATATTATTATTACTATTATTATTGTTATTGTTATTGTTATAAGAATTATAATAAAACATGTTGAAATCATTACACAAATACTTTGATTGAAGAAGTACAATCATAGTATTGAAACATGAAAAGCTTTTTGTGTAGCGATTTCAAAATGTTTTTTTTATTATAATCTATATATATATATATATATATATATATATATATATATATATGGCGTGTCGGGCTTAATGGTAGCACCCTATGCCTCGAGGGAGGCATTCTTTAATAAGATTTATCGAACATTCAGGCTGGCTGGTAGACAAAAATAAATACATAAATACACATTTGAATAATTAAACGAAACTCCTATTCAAATACAAGTATTCACAAGAAATAACGTTTAAAGTGATAAAAGTATTTATATATATGATAAAATTATAGTTTTAAGGTATGCTATATTTATGGGTTACAGTGATCGATATCATGGATAGATCGTATGTAATTAGAAGATATACAAATGAACACTGAGATCAATAGCCAACAGCGACAGTCTGCGTTGACGCCTAATGAGATGTTTTAATAAAACACATCGAAACGTGATTGTATTTTTGTGTAGCGTTATTCACATGTGTTGATGTAATCTCCTAAAATAATGAATATATCTATACTATTCTATTGAGCACTCTTCTAAATTAATGTTACGAACGTCGGAATTTATATTCGATTCGTTTTCATTACTTATCATAGCGTTCAATACATATGGAAGGCCAGCTCGGAATTTCGTAATTTTCCCATTACTCATCGGGCATATCTACAAGAATGACACCATTGTTTCGTGTTGCGTGTATCTGGGCAGCAAATTTAATTTATACAATTTTGGCTTAAGAACAATAAAAGTTATTCATCAAGATTTTTTTCATATATATATATATATATATATATATATATATATATTACGCACAATGCACCACTGACCCATATATATAAATAGTCGAGGAAAAATCCAACATTCGCGGCCAGACGATTGCCTGAGTGGTGAATTCAGTGTTCCTTATATATATATATATATATATATATATATATATATATATATATATATATATGCGTGTGTGTGTGTGTGTGTGTGTTTGTGTGTGTGTGTATTTTGGTTCGTTTTCCCGCTTTCAGAAGAAAGTTTGCATATAAATTGTTCAATGTACATGTACTTTTGACTTTGATAAGATACGATATTTGGAAAACGTTTACATAAGAAAATTTCGTTAAGAGCAATGTTAAATTTTAATGAACTTTTATTTGAAAATTAACTCTATTTGAGAAAAAAACAACAACAAAAAAAAAAAACGCCGATATATCGCTATCAGTAGCAGTTGCAGCATGTGCCTAAGCCGAGATGTTGTCAAAATGGACTTGCAGTCAATTAGGTCGAAACTCCAGAGAACATCGGGTACATCGGCATGTTGATTTGAGGCATAACTTCCTAGTCGCCAGGTACAGATACGCGCTTTTAATTAGCTGTTAGCAGCTGCTGACAAGTGAACACGCACACACGCATATATATATATATATATATATATATATATATATATATATATATATATATATATATATATATATATATATAAATAAAAAAGAAAGAACAGTAAGATATAAAATCCGGTGTTCTTATAGATATTTTATTTTTACAAAATAGTGCTCAATGTAAATTTACAGAGCATTAATATTATAAATTAATTGATTTAAAATATGGTTTTTTTTCGCTACACAGTTCCAACCATGTTTCAAAAATAGAATTGCAATTATATATATATATATGTATACAGAAAGTCGAGAAGAAAAATGAGTCTTTTACATCCACTCGAGAATGCAGAATCCAAGCTCATATAAAACCTTAAAACCACACACCTTCTCACTTACAGTAATTGACGAAGTTCCGAGCTGAATAAAATGTAACGTTACGCATGATAGATTCAATCACATTTAATTATTATTCTGTAACGTTACACTGTGACATACCAGCAGCAGAGGCAAACGTAAATGTAGAACCTTGCTTTATCCAAGTACTCTCTTTCTGTTTCCTTCAAATTGACAGAAACAAAAAAAGTTGCCATGGTTTTATAAGATTAATTTCTATTCTTTGTCTTTACCTCTTTCTTCCATCTTTATTCCTGGCGGGAAAATCTCAATCGATATTTGTGACGTTTCAAAGAGCAACAGCACAACCACCCACTTACAAAAATATATCTTGATACATATAAATATAGTGTATAAGTTAGAGCATTGCACTTGCCATAGATCAATGGTTGACTCGATTCAATCACCGACCATCTCTAGTAAGTTTAGTTCTAATTATTGTGGACTTGTGTCCAAGCTTAGTAATTACTGTCATTGTTAGATAGATATTTTAGCGACATGTTTTTATTCGCTTACGAGAGGTTATGTTTTTAGATAAGAAACCGCCAGGAAAATGGTCGACAATGCGCCGATCAATAAATCCATACCTTGGAGGGGTCCGTTCTGATAAATCTGATTCATGATTTCAGTTTCCTGGGGGAAAGAAAAAAAAAGGGTTTGGGTTTTAAAAAACAAAAATACACATTCATAGATACAGACAACTAAAATGAGAAACGTTTGCGATATATATATATATATATATATATATATATATATATATATATATATATATATATATGTGTGTGTGTGTGTGTGTGTGTGTGTGTGTGTGTGTATGTATGTATGTATGTATATATTTATGTATTTACATACGTGTTTGCGTGTTTGTCTGTGTGTGCAAGCGTGTGTACGCGCGTGCACGTGTAGAATAGAAGATGAAGACAAAATCTGAACAAATTAAATTTTGGGATGGCTTTATATATATATATATATATATATATATATATACACACACACACATATATATATATATATATATATATATGTTTGTGCAAGAAGGAGGCGTGCTTATTTACTTATATACTCACATGAGCTTGAATTCGATGCGGAGGAGTCATCTTGAATGTCATATGTTCCTTGAAATACTTGCCACTAGGACAGGTATCTGGCGTTCCGGATCTGGGGAATGGACAGGCCTCTTCTCTAGCTTTGTAAGGATAACAACTTTCAGTTACAGCACTGTAAAGAAAATCAATTTTAAATGAAAAACGTTAAATTACACGAATGCAAATAATCCCACCCATCAGTTTGGAGTAGAGATCCAATTGTTTCTAGATCAATTTTACTTCCAATTTACTGTTTCAAATAGTTTCTTTCTTTCCTTTCCCATTCTTTCCGTTTCTATTCCCCTTCCATTTTTTCTTCCCTATTTCCATTTCACTGAAGCAGACGGTAAACGAATTATGACTCATCAACAAATTAAAATCAGAAAAACCGTGAAATTTACACGGGAATTAATAGTTTTTTTTCGACTTGACTAAAACACATATTGGAATATATATTCATTTTTTACCGTATATGAAAGTCATTGTTCCACATTACATATTATGAGGGAAAATGGACGGTACAGTAAATAAAGTTATTTCTGTCTATCTGAAAATTGTTTATAAAATTATACAATTTTTCTTTCTTATGCACAAATAGTCAAGTTTTTTTTTGTTATCAGAGCAAAAAGAATCAAAATCATTAAAAAAGAAATAGCAACAATTATATTCATTTTATCTTTGTTGCTTTAAGATTTGTCCAAGGGAAAATGGCATTTTAAGAGGGTGTACTAGCAACATAATAGATATTGGTGGGTCGAGTTCAAGTTCCAATTTAGTCTATTAAGTTCAATTTTGTACAGTGCCATTGGAAAAAGGTATTTAGCTATTTCTTCTTCCCGGTGTTATTGTTTAAATAGCAATGTAGACTAGTTTCTCTAGCCTTGTCAACCAGTCTAGGATAAAACTACCCCGAATTCAAAACAATAGATGAAGTGACGGGAAACCACACCATTATCATTCCTAAGAAATCAGTTCACAGATGAAAGGAATCTATGGAGAACCATAATCGCCTACGTCCTTAAAATGCATGACGTTAAAAAAATTATCAGACGGGCAGCTAAAAATTTCTCGATACAACCCACTTACTAAAATTTGGCCAAGAGTTAGAATTTTATTCAGAATCTTGGTTGGGCTGAGAACTTTTCAATATCTTTTTTTACCATATTTCTTTTATCAGCTTTCCCGTTCTTATCTTATCTGGTTGCGTATGTTAAGAATAACAATTAAAAGACTGTGTGTGTATGTGAGTAAATGTTCTTACCCAAATCTACGAAGGTACCACCAAGCTTGGTCAATGTTGCCTCCTGTACAATTATTACTCTGAATTCCGACGCAAGACAGCAAATTCTGTGGTGACAATTTCACTCTGATGTCACCAGAAGAGCCGATGGCCAATCTGTCGGAAGCAACGGCTGAAAAAGAAACAAACAATAAACACATTACAAATATTGAAGAAACAGAAACGTTAAAGAGTGCGCCCGGAGGCGGCTGCGTCAAAAGACGGAGTCACAATTGAGAAAAATTATACTGAGAGGTGCCCAGATGTCGGGAACAGCTGCCCGAGGCCGCGCCCTCACATTGCACCAGAGAGAGGGATCGGTGCTCTCACTGAGGTCAGCGCAACAGAGGGTTGCAGGGGCTCGGGGAATTTTTGTTCCTAGCCCGGGTGTATACGTTCGGGCTCCTCACATTAAACCGACCTTGTGTCACAACGCGACTACGTGAAGGGGTTGAGTATATACCAAATTACTATAAAGTAGAGATGGGGGGCTTTTTAATCTCAGAATTCGTAGGAGAATTAAGCTTCACTTTCGCATTTATTCATGTGTATTCCAATATACAGGTTTTACATAATTAGCTATGATGTTTCTCTAACTCTTCAGATGTTGAATGTATAATTAATTCTAATTTCTATTTGCCCATCTTTACAATATATTAATTTTATCTGATAAATTGTCCCCTGTTCTGTCACCCATGAAACAAAAATAATTCTTTGTACAGAAAATAAGGATCTACGTACATCAAATCGTCTTTAAATTAAGTGGCAGCAGAAGAATTATCGCTGAACTTTTAAAAGGTAAGCTTAAAAACATTAATTCAGTACTTAAATTTAGCAATCAATTTTGAGTTCTTCTGTAGTTTATTTTTGCCTATCGCATCTACTCCTCCCTAGCTATTGTGATGATGGCCAAACCAAGAATCCTTCCCAGGAGCTAGCTTAAATGCCGCCCGATATGGCGGCTTTTAAGCTAGTTTATAATAAAAAGGTGCACTGCAATTTTGGATACAAAAGGAAATGTGTTACTCCCTTTGAACCATGAAAACAACGATAATGGCTCGTAAAATATATTATGTATATTTTTAATCTCGCATAATCTGGCAACCCTGAATCTGAGCTCAACGAAAATCGTTCCCTGCGCCTAACTTTTCTAGGCTTTTGAATGTGTTATGAAACATTGAAATAGGATCAGTGGGAGCGGAGAAGTTGCTTAGACACGCAATAACACACACATAGCGTGTCAGAGAAGGATGGAAAAGGGCATTAGTCTCGAAGAGGATTACTATGAAGGGGAAACCATGTAGTTTGTGGTTAGGAATTGAAATAAATTATTCGTAACATCAGTCCCGTTATTTTTTCAGACAGAACTCGTAAATACAAATGCTCTATCACTATATATATATATATATATATATATATATATATATATATATATATAGTTGGGAGTAATCTTAGCTTTCTTCAACCATTTCATTTTTTTTTTCACATGCTTTTGTAGCAGGAAAAATCATGGCTGCTTTATCGCAACACAAATAGGAAAACCACGTCGGGCTGGAACGCCTTCCCTTTCTCTTTTCCCGACGTTCAAGGGAACCTGTTTTGAAGGTGTGAGGGGCAACAAAATGGCCGCAACGATGAAAATGAGGGGCATCCTCTGAACAAATGTTTAAATCTTTAAAAGAAGCATCTAATGCAAAAATAAACCTCTCCCGACAAATAGCTAAAATAATAAAATAATCTTATCATATACCAATGCTATTTTAAATTTAACAATAATTTTTATAGATTATAAATGGTGTTACATTTAAGCAGGGCTTTGTCATATATATATATATATATATATATATATATATATATATATATGCGTATATATTGGCAGCATTTTTAAGACATGTTTCGTTAATTAATTTAGACATGCTCTGTCTACTCATTTTCAATTGGATCCTTTCATATTCACGGATATCCTTTTTGGTGCCGTTATTAGAGGACGAGAGAAAATCGCCGTGTTGATACATATTTCTTTTGTTACGAGTACTTTCGACATAAATGTCACAATGATTCATCAAATATTGTAAATTATTTCATTTCGAAAGTACTGATGATGACAAATAAAAGAAAATATTGTATAAAAATACCGAACATTCTCTCGTCCTACTATAACTGTTATCATAACCAAAAGATTGTCCGTGAATATGAAAGGATCCAATTGGAAATACGTAGATTGAACATGTCTAAATTAATTAACGAAACATGTCTTAAACATTTTGCCAATATATACGCATATATATATATATATATATATATATATATATATATATATATATATATATATATATATATGACAAAGCCCTGCTTAAATGTCTAAATTATTCAACGAAACATGTCTCAAAATATATATATATATATATATATATATATATATATATATATATATATATATACACTGGACTCTCCGTCATTTTTCGACGTATGAGGGTCAAGCAACTCTGTTCCTAGGAACCGACAGCCAGACTACCTGCACGTTTGTTTTGATTATAGTGGTGAAGGCTTTGTGCAGGACCAGCCGCACTTTTTGAAGAGCAGAATACAGAGACCTGGTGCACGACCGCCCACAGATTTTGAATTTAAAGTTATTCTTCTTCTAGATCGGCTGGCACCCAAGGCTTTAGAACCCAGTCTGTCCTACAATTTGCCAATATCTGGGTGAGGGGAAGAAGAGGATTCATATCTTTACCTATGTGGTTTTAGCACGTAAGGGAATGTAATGATTAATACACACACACACACACACACACACACACACACACACACACACACACACACACACACACACACATATATATATATGATTAATACAAATATAAAATTTGTCATTTAACTGATTGTTGTTATTTTTCAGCATCTCGGCTTTAGTTTCGTAGATGGACCCTCCATCCACTCGTCAGAAGATATCACCAATTGACTAAAGACTAAAGGAAAACGTTTCTTTGCTAATACCGCTTGACGAGTGGACCGAAGAATTACACAAAGGTTCGTCTACGAAACTCTGAAGTCGGGTTGCTGAATATAACATCAATCAGCTAAGTGACAAATTTTATATTTGTATTAATCCTACTTGATATTTAAATGTTATTTAATGTATGTATTCTCGAATGCATACAGCCACCCACACAGACATCCAGAGGGCAGGGCAACTTACCACTAGTCGAGAAGGCCCAAGATGAACCACAGTCTCTTTGATCTTGAATTTCAGTGATCATTCCAGGCCATTTTTGTCTTGCATCAAAATATTCGGGAAGAGATTCGTCCTTTTGTGGATGAAGTGATTGCATACCGAAGACCTTCTCGCCTGGGTAGAAAGTACCCAGTCTATATTTAATGCCATCAGACAAAGTAAGGCCCCACAAGAAAGAATAATTGCTGGCTCTCCACCTGAGAAAAGAAAATGCAAGTTAAATGTTGCAAAATGAAAGTTTAAAGACAAACATTAAATCTTATCCATTGTTAACGATTTATATGAAAGCAGCAGAAATATACACGCCATGTTGTATTAAATGCAATTAAAATTGCTTATTAAGAAGAGTCTGAGGAATCTTATTGCATAACTAAATTAGCTACTAAATCGAAATTACAAAAATAAAAGCCATGGAAACAAAAACAGAGGTAAGGAGAAAAGACTTTTATTATATCGACTTTATGGGTAGCTCATTTGTTCCTGTGAAGAAAGCAACACTTTTGGTGATCTAAAAACTATGTGCCTCTTTTTTAGACAATATTAAGGAGGCTGGTAGTATATTGTGGTATTTTGCTATCACGTGATTTCCACAGATAGCTACTGCTCTTCCGGTGTAAATATGCAAATATAAAATGATATAATAATACAAAGAAGAGACCTCATATACTTCTCCATTGTTTTAAATCTTTGTTTCGGTGGATGGAAATCTTTATCGTATATTATTTGATAATTTCCACAATCATAAAAAAAAAACATACAAGATTTATTGCAGTATGAAAATATTTGATAAAGAATAAAAAAAATGACTCTCTTCATAAAATTTCATCTGTTCAATTCTATAGAGGAATTTGAGGGATCTTTGTTCATGTCAAAGTCAAAAATAATAATATAAAGGAAGATAATATACAGTAATTACAGCAATTGCTACCCTAAAACATCACCGTAAGATAATGTTATGATCACGAGAAAACCACTGCATCCTGGTATCACGTTAGCTTCATGGGGTGATGTCTAACGCAGACTTGATCACGCCATCATATGATCAGGTAGCAATTATTTGTTTAACTGCAGTTACCAGGATACAGAGATCGCGACTGCGCATTCGTTAATGTTATTTTTTTTTGTCATGATTCAATTCTCCATTGTTAAACTTTATACAGACATAATTGTTTTCTTTCTACATTTTAACCCATTGAACACACGGGAAAATTTTTCAAAACGGTTACTTATGTCTTACTTGTCTATAAAGCACGTAAACATAAAGTTATTTGGACTCAAAGTCTGTCTCTAAATTGAAAGATAACGAAAGATTATACAAATATGCGGCCATTTTGATTGTCGACAAGTATTTCATACAACATGTAATTGGATAAAGCAAAACCTCTTAAACTGTATAATCATCTAAAATTCATACGATTAAAAAATGTCTGCTAATATTTGTAGAGTAATTGGCTGTGGTTACTTAAATGTAATTGGCAGAAATGTCTAAAACAAGCAGAATTGACAAAGTTTGCATTAAACAATAACAAGAGAAAGAAAAGAAAAGGACAAAAATAATATTAAGTAAGCAAACAATAGATGCAAAAGGCAAATTAACACTAATAAGGCAAAGCAACAGTAATAAGGTAAAAAGTTCACAAACTAAGAATGGTGTTAACACACAAAAGGGACACAGACAAGCGATCGCAGCCTTCTGACTTCAAGATAAGAAAGAACAGAAATATGGTAGACGAGGTCTTACTAGTCTTATTGGCTAGGAAGAAATCCCAGCATGCATCCCTTTGTTTTGGGGAGGGGGATATTTTTGTACTTATTGTAACCAACAACATGAAATCTTATTTACACTACCTTTGACGTAGAATTTATTTAAAAAGACGGATTGATGTAAAGCCTTATAGTATACAATTGCAATTTAAGAACGGAATGATTAATATATGAACGGGTGCTGAAAAGTCATTATTAACGAAGATCGTACTTTAAGAATTCAGGTAAAACTAAGCCGGGTATATAGTGTATTCGATTCGAAATGGTAACTTATTTATTTATAAAGTATTTATAGTGGGTTATCAGTTATAATGAAGTGTATGAGTGTTGAAACAGATTAGTTTGATTTGGCCTTGTTAGTTAGATAGCCCTCTATAAAAGGGATATAAAACCAGAAAATCAAATTGTAAAGTGAAACAACAAATTTATATACATATACATCAATTAAGGTCTTTACAAATAAAATTAATGTATTTGGTTGATACAAGGTCGTCAAAATGTTCGTAGTAGTCCTTGCAAGAATGGGTTTATGTGTACGTAGGCAGGAACGTATGTGTGTATGTATGTATGAGCGTTATTGTAGGGTAGGAATCTCTTTGAAGTAATCTCACAGTCTTAAAATGTTCCATTCGTTTATAAAGTATAAAAGAGGTGAGGGAGAAAGGTAGAGATAATAATAACGATCGCTTGACGTTTGTCAAGGGACTTGTTAATACGCTCGTCTCCTTCTCTCTGGTGACAGGCGAACTTGTCTGTTTTATTTTTGTTTGTGGGGCTTGAAAAGGTCATTTAGGAATTCACTCCCGGATATAATTCGAGGCTTTCCATTGGACGACGAACAAACTTCGCGTCGGCTCGCGGAAAGGTCCGTAAAAGAATTTGTTTCTGAGAATTGAAGATTATTTGAATTTTGTTTTTAAATTTTTCCTAGTTTTCTATGGGGCGAAAAATATTTCACATCGAAGTGTGAAATTTCACGAGTTTTTTTTCTAATTCGCTTTTGCGTTGTGTGTTAAGCAAAGTTTGTAAATTCGAGTCTTTTTAATTTCTAACAAAATCAATGAGTCAGTGCTTAGCATTTGAATTTTAAAATCTAGATCTTGTTTTGTTCACTACATATTCTTGTTTTTAATTTATTTTGTTTAAACGTTAGTTTTTTTATGGATACTCATATTTGAGTAGAAGCTTTGTTTTTTAATTAAACAGTATTTTTGTTTTTTGTTTTTTTTTTAGACCGGAAGTCCTATGCCCGTCAGATCCAGTGACGGTTTCCTGCAAGAGGACACATATTTTTATGACAAGATTTCTTGAATATTCAGGCCGGTAGATATAGTTGGATAAAAATACTGTTTAATTAAAAAAAAAAAAAAAACACACACACAAAAAAAAAACAGAGCTTTTACTTGAATATGAGTATGCATAAAAAACAACATTTAAACAAAATAAATTAAAAATATCAATTTACATTATTCGGACTATTGTCCTCATCTTTGTCGCCATATTTATTACATCGTTTCGGCCGTTGTACTCTCCGGCCTTCTTCATGTGGTTGGAATGTCGAACTGAACTCTTTATTTCGCTCACTGGGGTAGACTGTTCTAGTTCTACGTGCCATGTTTTAATGGAAGTCAGTTATCAGTTATCTCCAGTTAATTCCCCTCTGAAAGTTCTTCACTGCCTTAACCGGGTATTGAACTCACGCTCTTTGGGTCCTGTCACTGGATCTAACTAACGCCTTTATCTGCTGTGGCATGTATCCTCAAAGACTGACATCCATTAAACATCGCACGTGGAACTAGAAGTGTCTACCCCAGTGAGCGAAATAAAGGGTTCAGTTGATACCTGAAGAAGACCGGAGCGTACAACGGCCGAAACGTTGTAATAAATATGGCGACAAAGATGAGGACAATAGATGAGTAAATTGTGTACAATCTGTCCGAGTTAAAAATTCGAAAAGTAAACATGTAATTTGAGTTGTATGCTCAAAAACAATCTATCGCTTTTCTTCAGGACGATGACGGAACTGGAAATGACATCACAATAACAAAAAATAAATAAATAAATAAATAAAAAATATAGAAATAGAATAGAAACACTCATATAATAATGATCAAATACATTAATAATTTCAGTCATAATTACTGGGATGAGGTGCTATCATTAGTTACACTATTTACATTCGGACTGTTATCCTCATCCTTGTTGTTATCACAACGTTTCGACAGTTGTACCCTCCGGTCTTCATTAAGTGTATATCGATCGGAGTAACCTATTAACTTTTATAGACTGTTCTCATTCCACTGCCCATGTCTAGGGGTATCTCGTATAGTTCTTATTTTTTTTAGTACTGTTCGTTTATATAAATATTTAGTGTAAATAAACTAATAAATAAACAACGTTTAATATTTTTGTTAAAAATTCTCAAGAACAAAAAAGTGTCTAAAATTCACTTTCATCATATGTTTAGGTTTTATTAATTACCTAATCATCGCTTTTAAAACAATAAACATTGCCGAGGAGTGAAGGTAGTTAAAATAATAGCAGTGTTAAGGGAAAGCCCCCGTTTTATGCCTTACTGTTCACCTCTATTGTCTTCAACGATTTTATCTTTTAAATTTGGATTTTGCAAATTAATAGTTTTTCCCTTTTTTTCTTTTTTACTCTACTCGTGTCTTAGGTTAAAACTAAAAAATCCAGTGAAATCAAGAGATAAAGGGTGTTCCAGTAAATTTGACCGATTTTAAATGTGAATTAAGTTGAAGCATCGAACTATTTTTTTTCTTTTTCTTTCAGAGTTAACAACTCAAGTCTTCGGCAATTTCAACCGTGGAAAGATTAACAATCAAATAACGTATTAAAGTTATCGAAGCCTATTACGAAAATGGACGTTCACACAGAATTTGAATGAGAACTTCCCAGGTCGCATCATCTCTCGAAACAGCGAAATCAATTGGCCACCACAATCGTGCGACTTGACGCCTTTAGATTTCTTCCGTTGGGGTCATCTCAAAAGTAAGGTCTATGCCAACAAGCCAACAACAATTCAACAGCTGAAGGAAGAGATAATAAGGCATAATGGTGTGATAGAGGAGCAACTATGTAGAGACGTCATCAAAAACTTTGACCATCGAGTGGAGGTGTGCCGCCGAAGCCTTGGCGGACATTTGGGCGATATTATTTTTTATACACAATTGCCATGATTTAAATAACATGATCCAATAGAAAAATAAATAAATTCTCACCAATAACGCTAATTCATTTACTGCTGACTTTAAGAAACGCCCTTTATTTTAAACTGGACGTCTTCGGGAAACCTTGCTACACGTAAAGATATTCTCACGAAGGTTATATTTCACTTAATACTGAAACTGTGAATGTGATGCCCGAAATGCCGTTTGCATTGTCCAAACCCAACGACATTTCAGAACAGAAATAACAGTAAATATATATAAAAAAACAAAAACAAAAAACAAACAATACTATACTATTTTGAACACTTGGACCGTCAAGTTAAAACGTTTCTGAAAAGTATTATTTGAGGGGGAAATGCCATTGCTCGTAGGCGAGGGCAATTCATTGTTTTGATTCATTTTCATTTTAATCTAATTACAAATACTACCACGAACAGTAGAAAGTGGGAGGGAGAGAAACAGAAAGAGCAGATAGATAGAGAGATAGTAGTTTACTAAGTGTAGCTTAAATGTGGCAAAAAAGGCCACACACACACACACACACACACACATGTGCACACACACACACATGCACACACACACACATATATATATATATATATATGACTTTTATATGTGTGTGTGTGTGTAGAGAGAGAGAGAGAAAGATATGAACAGACTGAGATAGATATGAACATCTGATAGATAATGAAAAGAAAGAGATAGATAGATAGATAGATAGATAGATAGATAGATAGATGTGAACAGACTGAGATAGATCTGAACAGCTGATAGATAGATAATGAACAGAAGGAGATAGATAGATAGATAGATAGATAGATAGATAGATATGGAGAGAGAGAAAAAAAATAAAATAGATAAATAGATTGGAGGCGAGAGAAACATGAAGTGAGGATAGATATGAGGAGGTACTGAAAAAATCCTACCCCTAACCCACATATGGTTTCATTTTGGGGAATGAGTCGGCCCTAGAATTTTTTAATACTTCCTCATAGATAGACCGAGAGAGACAGAGAAAAACAAACATAAAGTGGGATAGGTAAAAAGACACAGAGAGAGAGAGAGAGAGAGAGAGAGAGAGGGGAGAAAGAGTGAGGGAGAGAGAGAAAGGAGTGGCTGTCTAAAATAGTTTGTATTTTATTTATTTAGTTTAGAAAATGCGTAACTACCGACATCGAGGTTCGAGCGTGACACGCTGGACTTATGAATATATGATTTTCTGCCAGGTGTATAAATAGCGGTGTCAGGCTACTGACTGCAGTGATTATTGAGTGACTATTGAGTGGAACTATCCAGTCGAATTAGTGTGAATTATTGAGCGTCGATTATTTGGGTTTTGAATTACGATTTACTGTACGTTAAGCCGAGCTGGGCTACTAACAAGGTATTCACTGAACTGGTTAATTATCTTTGTTTGACTTTTACTTCTTTGTTCTTGTTAAGTATTTATTTGCAGTTGTAATTAAATATTGTTTTATCTTAACATTGAAGTCCTGAGTCATACTTAATCATTAATGACTACCATACGTCAAAAAAATTTGTTATAATGGGTATTATTGATTTACATGCGCAGTATTGATTTTTATATAGCAAGTTCTTTTAATGTCCGTTTTTCTTACCATTTTTATTTTTGTGACTTTGCATCCAACCTTTATGATAGCTCTTCCTTCACATCACGTTAACTAAATTTTCATATCTTTAATCAACCATCTACTGTAGTTTCCTTCTTTTGTTTATCGCTCTCCACATCTTCCTACCTCGTGAAGCTTCTTAATAAGTTTTATTTTTTTGTTATATCATCCAAATCCTGTTCTGCCATCTATTTGTTCAAGTTATCAAATATGTTACGCACTGCTTTCCTCTGTTCCCTCTTTTCCTTTCAATCTATCCTGTGAGTATCAGATTTTCTAAGCCCTCCTTCCTCATAATGTACTCCAGAAATTTCAACTGCCTCTTAAGTAAAACTTTCCTTTTTGTTTCCATTTTCTCCAAAACCTCGTTGTTGCTCACATGTTTGGTCCATGGTATCATCAGCATCTTTCTGTAAAAAATTACTGTCGTGGCATCCGTTTATCTCGCTACATAAAGTTAACGCCTCGTTTGGTGAAAATTCAATACTTTGGTGGTGAGACTGGAGTGTTCTCTCCGGAGCACAGGCTTGGCAGATGGAGGCCGTGCGCTGCCCAGACCATATGTTCCCCAGCTCTGGGTCATACCGACAAGGTCCAAAGGAATACAATATATTTCATTTCAGGCCGGCTTACCTGCAGGAGTTGCCGGAAGGTTTTCAGTGTTGTCAGCCAATCGCCATTTATTATATAATATACAATAATACATAGATAACAAATTTTATATGAAGGTAATTATTTGGAGGTAATTATTTAAAAGTAATTATTTGAAGGTAATTATTTAAAGGTAATATTTTAAGGCAATTATTCAAAAGTAATTATTTAAAGGTAATTATTTGAAGGTAATTATTTAAAGGTAATATTTTAAGACAATTATTCAAAAGTAATTATTTAAAGGTAATTATTTGAAGGTAATTATTTGATGGAATCATATATATTTAGATGGAGAGAACGAAATAAAACCTACAATAATTATAATTCAGTTCTACATCGAGATTAAGTTTCTGGCACTAGATGTCTCCAGATTTTTTTTATCGCTCTTGCTTTCAAATATCCTACATCATAAGAGCAGCAGTTCAGAAAAGTAACGATAGCAAGGCCTCTGTTGGAGGTTTTGAGGAACGTGGAACCGCCTCTTAATTGCTGCTGTTACCATGTTCATCCTTATCCAGACTGGTAGCACCTGTTAGGGACTAAGCTATGAGCAAATAGTTAATCCCCAAAACAAAATACTATGAAAATATAAAAATACATTTTTATAGTAAAAATACCAGCAATACATTTTTATATAAAAAATGACGAACAATACATATTCACAATAAAATGACCAGCAATACATTTTATAGTAGAAAAAAACAATACATTTAATCTGTATTTGAAGTCATGTAATTGGTTGAATATATATTTAGTTGAAGGCATATGATTGTTCAAAATATTTACATTTAGGTATAAAATAACCCATAGAGGTGTTGATATACCGTTAAACAAGATCAAACAACCAGAAAGGTGATATATACAGCATGATAATGAAAGTAAGTTTATTGTGAAGGACTTTCTAAACATTTTTCGCCTCAATAAATAAGTTAATAAATTACTTTCTGAATTAGCTTCATAATTTCTATAATTTAAAATTATTTTATACAGTGTAACCCGGATATAAGAGAGTTGTCGGGACCGGAGAAAAAGTATCTTATATCCGGGTTTCTCTTATATCCGGGTTTGGTCTATTTTATATACTTTAACACAGGCTCTAATTTGGGACCAGAGAAAATCTCTCTTATATCCGGGTTTTTCTTATATCCGGGTCTCTTATATCCGGGTTACACTGTATAGAGTATCGTTGATAAATGTTTGAAATTCGCAGATATCGACAAGTATCGATCCTTTTCATAAATTTAATTTTTTTTTAAAAATCCGTATCGCCCCAAGTAAGGCAGTAAAGCCACTAAGACACAAAGGATTGCAGAGTGTGGAAGAATTACGAACAAAAATATTACTAATGATTACAGAGGAAAGAGTTAATCAGGAGCTCAGAAGATAGCAATTAAAATTACATAAAATTTTTGCAGAATGAAGTTGGCTAGAAATCATGGAGCCGAAATCGAGTTCCACAAGCGAGAAAAAAAAAACTGTCAGCATAAAATTTACGGGTTACATCTAGCCAGCTCAACTTGAAATTGATAAAATCTGGACGCCAGTGTAGTACTGCGCTCGAATTAAAAAAAAATGTCTAGGTATCATAGCGAAGATATCATCCGAAGAATTACTATGAAAGTATTTATTGAAATGTCATAGAGGATCAACCTTACGACGGTGGGAAAGTAACCTGAAGCAGAGCCACAAGTTCTGGACCAATAATATTTCTGATTCTTCTTTGGATTTTATCAAAGAGCTCAAGGTCACCGGACAATATGTGGCAGCAATATTCTAAGCACAGACGAGTGATAGACTTATAGATATGTAAGATAGATTCTGGAGAGAAAAATTGTCTAGCAAGACACAGTGATCCAACTTTCTTAGCAGCTGACTTGGCATCGGATCCCATATAATATTTCCACTTAATGTTCGCAATATCTATGTATATATATATATATATATATATATATATATATATAGAGAGAGAGAGACAGACAGACAGACAGACAGACAAACAAATAAATATAAACAACATCCGATAACACACACATATACATACACAAACATTTTGAGAATTATAGATATAGATTTCTAAATATATAGCAGGAATACGGGACCATATGTGGCAGCAATATTCTAAGCATGGACGAATGATAGACTTATAAATATGTAAGATAGATTCTGGAGAGAAAAATTGTCTTGTACGACACAGTGATCCAACTTTCTTAGCAGCTGACATAGCAATGGATTCAATATCGTCTTTCCATTTCAGGTCAGCTGACAACGACTTAGTTTAATCTTTAACAACGGCACAATATTAATGTCTTTCATTTTTATCATTTCAATCTAATGGCGCTTCTCGCAATGATCTAAACAGTTTTGCTGGATTTTTTGGATATATTTTTATAATTCGACAGAGGAAATTGATGCTGTATAGTCTTGAAACTTAAGCATTCGGAGAGTTCAAATTTTAATTGACTGAGCTGTAGTCAGTAAGGTTATTCATTCAAATCATGTTTTTTCACTCTTACCCGTAATCTCCAAAATTGATAGCTTGGTTTTGATCTGCCCGAAGAAGACAAATATTATTGGAACATGACCAGGAAATTCGATCTGAGAAAGGCCTTTCATCCAGACAGGTACTGTAAAAAAATAAAATAAAAATAATGTATAAGCATTAGAAATATGAAACGTAGTCCAGTTAGATTTTGAATATTCAGTTACGACAACAACAGCAATAATAATAATAATCATATATTAAGAAAAGTGTTATCAGTTAAATGATAATTCTCCTATAGGGCCCTGCTCTACAGGATACAAAGCAGGAAACATAGCATACACAAATAATAATAATAATAATAATAATAATAATAATAATAATAATAATAATAATAACTGGTATGAACACCACCCAGACCCGGTTACGGAGATAGGACCTGTTACAATTCTATGGGATTACACACTACACACTGACAGAACAATCAAGGCCAACCGCCCAGATATTGTCATTAAAGACCACAAACAAAAACGGTGCCTCCTTATTGATATGGCAGTCCCTGCTGACTGCAATGTATCTTTGAAGATATTCAAAAAGCTGTCAAAATACAAGGACCTTGAAATAGAAATCTCGAAAATGTGGCATATGGGAACATCAACAATCCTTGTTGTAGTTGGAGCCCTAGGACTGGTTGGAAAAGATTGCAGTAGACTAATTGAAGGGATTCCTGGAAGTCCAAGCCTCAAGGAGATACAAAAAATTGTTCTGACAAGTACAGCCCACACTTTACGAAGGGCTTTATCTATGTAATATTTTTTTTTTTTTTGTCAGTGGAAAGTGTCATGATGTCATTTCTAACGTTAGGTCCCTGGGCGAGACCCGGAAAGAAATTTGTAAACGCCAGAAATCAAAGAAAATAAATAATAATAATAATAATAATAACAGATATAACTGCGGAAGACGCTTCTGGACAAGTGTGTGGGTTTCTCTGTCGTGCAGAGTTGTCCACCAAAATCAAATTCACGCGAATGCCCTCTTCAAACTCTGACTTCGCTTTCATCCACCCTTCGGCAAGTCCAGTGGCGTCCACGACCCACACTCCTTTACGACTCCTGCTTATGACTCTTCAGGAGATGAGCTGGACCTTCACAGCCGCCGCCGCCACTTGGGGTGTAGGC